CTTGACAGACTGACTCATTGTCTCATCGGAGACATCGTTTATCCAGAGGAGCAGAACGTCTAGTATTGTCGTAAACTTGCTTGGCTGCAGGCTATCGTGTTTTTGCGCTCTTCAGGAAGCAGTTTATGGATATCGTCTGATTCTGAGTCACCGACCCTAGATTACGTTCTTCTTCTTCGTCGCCCATCCGTGTCGTCCAGGATGACCAGTCCGGTCTGTTGACTTTCCTTCGCTGTTGACGTTTTTGTCATGGGTGAAGCGAAGATGGTGATAGCATTTGTGCTATAGAAGAAAGGTGTGTAGGCTTTTGTTAATTAAGTCAGTGTGTCCTCCCTCAGTCTTTTGCTGCATTCAAGAGAGTATGCTTATTAATTTTTTTTCGAAATATTAGCTTTATTTGATTCTTTTGCAAAGAAAGCGAAGTTCGAGATTGCATTGGCGTCGTGGATAAATACTATTTTAACTTAATCTGTGGATCTCTTTGTGAAATTGACCCTAGGTAAATTTAAAAGTCCTTTCGGACCGATAAATTGCCTTTCATTTGGAGGTTGTGATGCAGTAATAGATGTTGAATAGCGTCGTTCAAGTTTAACTGATTATGATGTTGTACACGACATTTAAACTCAGATTGTTTCATCGTTATGTTATCCGACAGAAACTCAAAAAAGGTAGTTCATTACTTTTTCGTGAAGAAAACTAATTTCGTTAACAAATTGAATTTGGTAAACTTGGCTAAGAATGGGTTCTGAAATCGCTTTGCTGCCATGAGTTCTTTAGTTCTTCGATTTTCTCCAGGAAAAGGGAAATGAAGATTGCCAATCATCTTGACGGTTTGTGTGATCATATTCCGTGTCTGTCACCTCAGCGCGCAGTGGACCGGAGAAACAGGGTCAACAGACTTCAACCTCGTGGTTGATCTTTTGATCGCTGATGAGGGCCGTTGACCTTTGATCAGAATGATCAGTCCTAGATGTCAGCATCAATTGATCAATAATGTCCACGATCACTGTTTACTAGGAAATGTATAACTTCTTCATCACTATTACCCGCCAATGTATTTTAATTTTGCCTCGAGAATTTGATTATGTAAAATTCTAGATCTCTTGGAGACCATGTATCTCCAAAAGCTCACTATAGTTTGATCAAATAACGAAGGTGGTCAGGGATGGGGTGTACTTGTGGCCAAAGAATAAAAACATTCACTCACTGCAGGTTGGTCCCATTTACGACCTTCATTATGTAAACAAACAGCAAATAAAATATTTTTCGGGTTTCTAAAGTGTATGTGAAAAAAAATCTAAAACCATCGTACTGGTAGGAATATTTATACTGTATCCCATTTGAAAAACACTTAGGATCGTTGTGAAGACCCCACTTAGTTTTTTTGCTTGCACGAATACTCAAAATATTTCTTAAAATCGGACCACTTTCATTGTAAATCATTTACAGCCTAACCGCGTACTATCCTTTAAACTTAACAATTTAACAAGTTTTCTTTTCTACCTCGTAAAACCATTATCATTATCAATCAAGATGGGTGCGTGGTTTAACCCGAATATGAGTGAATGATGAGTGTATAATGGTGTGAGATGATCTATCTAGCTTTGTTACTGACTAAGATCAGCTGTTTCATTAGCCAGGATCATTTATTTAAAGCCTGGTCAAGGACAGCTAGGTCCAGTTTCCAACCATCATACACTTATCTTCTCAGGATCGAACCGGCAACCTTTTGATTGTTTGAGCACTTTATCAACTCAGCTAACCAGCCAGTACTAAACTAAATCGACCACCAATGAAATTTGAAATCTTCCAAACTATTAAACTGTGTTTTGTAGAACATGAAATTGTTAAAATATTGCTACAACTAGTTTTGTACTTCACAAAAGTTCTTTTATTGTGTAATTAAATCCCTAAAACCAAGTTTCTCCTACAGTCAAACTGTTCGCCATTCTCATAAAATCAAAATTTAATAATTTTTTTTGACGTCACACAAGTACATTAGTTTTGAACCTAGCAGACAACCGTGCACTAACGGCCGCTGTGCTCGGAGACTCGTACGCACGGGTGCACTGAAGGCGTGGCGTTGTGATGTTACACAATTGGCAAGTCGACCTCTGCCACTGTAGATTGCGATCTGACTTAGGACCGGATTATGGGGAATTTATACCTTTTAGTGTGCCAATCGTGATGTGTTTCGTGTGTGTTCGAAAACAGTTAGTGTTTATCAGCTTAAGTATGTAATAATGTGCACTAATGTTGATATTGTGATATAGGGTAAAGCTATGTAATCAGGAGGAATAATACCCACGCTGTAGCAAAACTGCAAAGCGAATTTCCATTCACATTGGATTTTCAAATATTTCCTTATACTAGTGAAATTTATTCCCTAATTAAATAACATTAGGCTTAGTGTGTAGTTAGATTTGCCAACACTGAGAAGGTAATAAAGTGTGTTTTTAGTAAAACTTGAATATATTTGATTATAAAATTGTTATCAAATACATTCGTTTGCTTAGTTAGATCAAAACATATTCCATAAACAATCAAACTACAAGATTTTATTTGTTCTCTGTTACCATTAATAATTAAAGCCAACAAAACAAAAATCAAATTGCGAAATCGTTTGTTTTCAAAACTCTACTTTTTACACGCAATGGATGTAATGAAAAAGGGAATTTTCAATCGTTTAAAGGTACAAATTAGAACAATTGTAAAACCCCGCCACAACTGTTTCCATCCGATCTTCCTAGTTTGCAAACTCATTCAAGTTTCTCCCACCATACACATTCATGCCAATTTCCATCAAAATAGTACCATAATTACTCGAGTTATCGTGTTCATGGAGAAGAAATTCGCTAAAACGTCGAATAATCGAAGATCGTATAACTTGAGACTCCATTGTAATGTAATTGAATTTGCAATTATTCACGATAACCTTTAAAAGCTAGTTAACGCGAAACCATGCACTATTTGGAAATTCCCCGAAAGACATAACCTTAGTAACTTTCTTAGAAACAATTAAGTAATTTCGCCACAATCTTGGTGACGAAGTAGTTTTATTGGCCGGTTTAAATGCCCCATTGTTCGGAATTATGACATCGTTCTAGTTTAACAGCTGTTTGTGCTACACTTTCAAAGCTGTGATCAAACTGTGATTGTCTAATGGGAAAATTCAAATTACCTTTCGATTAGACAATAGACTTATTAGCGAATACGCTATTGAATTAATGGTGATGGTACGAATTATATAATAGTATAATGATATAACGAGGCTTATAAATATTGACGTTGAAAAAAAAAGAAGATTTGCGTAAGATTTTTCGTTTTGAGACATCTTTCTTTCAAAAATTTTCAAAACGTACTTGATGCACTGATAGATAATAAATAAAAAATTAAATTCTTTGTCTCCTGTACATTAATTTTTTATCGTTATTGTATACGTCTGTGGCATTTTTAAGGAGTTATGGAGGAGTGGATGTCAGTTTTTTCATTGATTTTTAATCCATATGTTCGTTGTGTTCAGCTTTTTCGTGAACAAAAAAAAACTTTTTAATTTTTAAATACTCTATGATGTAAAAACAAGTTGAACGTTATGGAGTTTACATTCTAACCATCATAGCCAGTTTTGGAATAGATGTTTTTTTACAATTCATTTAATTAGTCCAACAAAAAGAGTGTAATTTAAGAAACCATAAACATGAGTTTAAATTTGTAAGAAAGGATTCCAGTTACGAAAACCCTTTTTGGATTTTGTACCACTAAATTATATCACTGTTGAACATCATTGCGAAGTCCCCCAAATACCTTTTCTTCGCCCAAATGTTTGCAAAGGTGATTCTCCACGCCAAATTCGCAATTCTTCGTCATACTTACCCGTGTCTCTTGCCACCTCACGTGCCAGTCACTAACACTATTGTAGTGATAGTGAACTATAGTGAGTGGACTAGTGATGTGTCTATGACTATTGATGGTGGTCCCCAAGACGTGTCTAGAATGAAAGACTAGGTCCATTGTGTAGGTCCGTCCACCTGTAAAACTGTTGCCGCTTTTAAACCCCCCCCCCCCCCCCCCCGAAAACCTGCTCCACCATTCGGAAACAGGATTTCGTTGTTTGTCACTCCGGTTTTCTGGGTGTCGGGCTCCCGGACCACTGTTTTGTTTGGTTTTCGATTTGTTGTAGGTGATATTTTGTTCTCGTTTTACTAATTGTAGTAACTTGGTTTAAACTTTTGGTACTATACCGAGTCTTCCTTTATTGAAGTGACTAATATTATATTATTCTTGCTAAGACAAATAACAAATTTAAGAAACTTGTGTTATTGTTTCTTGTTATTGACAAATAACAAACTTTGCTAAGACAATTGGCAATATGGTTTTCGATTTTGAAGATGATTTTGTTGTCGTTTAGCTAATTATAGTAATTTGGTTAAAATTTATTTGAGGTACATTACCGTACATAAGCGAATTTTTCTTTGGGGTAGTTTTATTTTTCATGGTAAGACCTATATCGAGAGTAATATATTACAGTTCTTAGAGGGAACACTTCGTAAGTATATTTTGCTCACAAAATACAAGAATCACAACATTTATAAAACTCAATGAATAAATTAAACCAATTCCAAAAATGTATCCCAATAAATCAAATTGGGTCGCACGTATATCTAACTGAATAGAATTAAATGAAATTAAATTTAAAATGTCTTTATTTAAGAGGTGAAGTTAGGACTTGCAAGTCAGTCCTCTCTACCGCTTAACCTCTAAAACAGAAATAACTACAACAGAATCAATCACGATAAAAATATGCTCAATAACAGAATGCTGGCATACAGAAATAATTAATTTAGCCACTAAAGTATTAAAAACAGCCATTTTTCGTTGTATAATGAAAATGTCATCGATTGGACCTCACCGGAAAATCTACTTGACGAGGTCATGCTAATGTTTATCAATAAATAAATTTGAATTGTATTTTTAAATGTTAATTGTGTTTTTGTTTGTAGGTGAGTGGGTACCGGAGCCATACCGTATGCAGCCATCCCTTGGTAAGCCCACTTCACATACTGAGTGTTGTGAGTGTGGTTTGGCTTCTGTCTAAGTGTTGATTTTATTGTGGTTTTGTTGTTTTGTATATAATTTTATAAGCTTAAAAGTACACGGTTTTGCACCAGTCGTCTTTAAAGTAAAGTAATCTAGATTTGATAGTTTTGAAGTTTTGATGTTAATTTTGTCAACAAGAAACTTTTGTTTACATTCCTTGAAACAGACGTTGTGATTGTTGGACTGAAATATTCAGTTTTCATGTAGAAGTAATTATATAAATAAGCTTGGAAAATTACGTAAAAAGAACAGACTTTATCTCTTTGATTTTATGTTCTAGAATTATGTCAAAAGAATTTTATAATAAACAAGTTGTGTGAAATGTAGGCTTTTTCCATTTCTATTGATTTTAAACTTCATACTAGAAAGGCCGAATTTATTTTATACAGAGCTTTTCGGTATTCTTGCTTCTCTAACTCGTGTACAACAATTAAGTAAATGTAATTTATTCATTTAGTTTTTTTTTTTAATCGTATTTACAGTTCTTGCTGGATAATTAGAAAAACCGTGTACTTTCTTAGATAGGTTTAGTGTTACACTATTTTTTTTTTTTACTTATATGTTTTGTAGACTTCCTTTGCTATTTTTAGTGGTGTATTTATTTGCAAGACATTGTTTACGATGTTTGTATTTTCGTGTTGCATGTTTACAATATTTTGTTTCTCTAACTTTATTGTTTTACTTGAATGTCTTCACCTCGGCCTTAGGGGTCCTGGTTTGGCCATAGCTAAATATAACAGGGTTTAACAGTTTAAGATAGCATCATAGACGAGACATAAACAATGATGGCTAATCAGGCAGTTTCGGAGAAATAATTAAGACCTCCCATTTGCACATCCTGTGTCAAAAAGGTCAAACGATTTATTCTACAGTAAAAATCACCGAGTCATTTTTGAGCTGTGTATATAAATGGTTTCATTGATTCAAGGAAGTCATTTGATAGCCTTTGCACTGTTTTCTTACGCCATTGGTTTGGACAATTCAATTCATTGTGGACGAGAAATTGGTCTTCACAACCAATAATAGATTTTTTGAATCTCGGTTTCATATGACGAACGCAGATTGAATCAGGAAATTATCAGGACTTATGGAGTAAGTTGAAAAATACAATTCTTTCTAGATGTTATTGATTTGGAAATACTTGTGGTAGCTATGATGTAATTTAACGGTAAATTTTTTGATTAGATCTATTAGTATACTAATAGATCAGCTGAAGACAATATAAAGATTAACGTTGCTGTTGAATCCATTTTGTTGTTAATTAGTATCTTGTTATTTAATCAACATAAAAACACGTTTTACTTCATATAAAATGTTTTGTATACAATCTATTGTTTGTCGTATATAGCCAAAGAGTAAAGCAATCTTATTGAACTCTCTCCTTAAAATAAGATAAATACATTTAATGGCCATCAGCGAATTTATATAAGTGAATGTCCCCAACGTAAAACATATCTTTAGAACAGGGTCCAAAACTTATTCAATATTATGAGAAGCTTACTTGCATTACTCTTAAGTGAATGGTGTAGGCCTACATGTGCATTTTAAACTGCTCTATCAAAACAGAATCAAAGAATAATATATACTAGTGTACATGTTGCTCGAAATCGAGCAATTGCAAAGAAGTACAGGAGTTACATATACACAAATGAAATCACTTGTTTAAAAACTAATAACAGTCATAATTTCTGATGATTTTAAAAGAGTCAACTAAAAGATTATTAACTAATGGAAATACTCACAATTTACATAACAGTCCTATTCCAGTTTAAAGGGTTAATTTTTAACTATCAAACTGCCCATGGACGGGAAAAAGGCAAGCTTACAATTTAAGTCAACGTAAAAAGGCTGTCAGCTTCAGCTTTTATAATGTACCATACCTAGGTTTTTTGGCCAATTTGTAGACAATAAGGTGTAGGCTACTTTAAACTCTACAGAACAGATTTAGGCAAAAACTGACAGAACTCTGAAATGGTGTTATTTATCATAGGCATACTCATATGCCAAATCCTTAAAATAAAAATGCAATAATTAGTATCATTAAACACAAACCAACATCCAAAACTATACTAATTTTTAATACAACATAGATAATTTACACATTGACTGTTTACAATTAACATATGTTCTTCTTCTCACTTTTAATTTTTGCTTCGCAACGGGAAAAATCTGTTTCATAATCATTGAAATAGATTTATAATAAATAATCTATCATAAAGTTTAAGATTAAATAAACCTACTATATAGTTGTTTTATTTTTTTGGATCAGCTGTCTGAAATTTTGAAATAGGCAATTGACAGTTCTGTTTGTTTACATTTAAATGTCAAAGCAAATGTAAACATTGTGAATTTTCTCATGCTTCCACGGAGACCAATTATTAATATTTAATTTATGACAACAGCTGGAGTTTCAAAACAATGTTTGTTTCCCATGTTAATCTTATGGAGAAATACTAAACTTTAAAGGGCCCCAGGGCCTCATTCTCTAATTATTTACCTAAAAAGAAAGTTTCCTGCACAACTTCACGTTACGCTCTTTCCAATGACACCAAAAACATGACAATCGGTTCAGTAGTTTCGGAGGAGTAATTGTCACAAAAATCCTGCTTGCGTATTAAATAAGTAATAGATAGATAATAATAATAATATACTATATATATATAATATATTATATATATATAATATATATATTATATATATATATATATATATATATATATTATATATATAGGTATGTGAATAATAGAGGATATTCAGTGCTCAATAAGTGCTAGGTTGTATTGTTAGCTCAGTGCGGTTTAGTAGTATAAAATCAACGGCTGTCAACCAATGAAGGCTCACGAAATAAAAAGAGCGGGATTTTAGCTGATCAATAAACTCTAGCCACTCTATGATCCCTCCAAGATTTTCGCTGATTCTGGTTATATAATTTTGCTAGATGACAAACAGATCAAATCCTTTTTACCTTTATTGACCGCTTCTCAATAATCGACGGTAGAATGACGTGAGTCGCATGTTTGGCACTGATTGATCAGTTACCCGCCAAATAAACGTATTTGCCCGCCAAATGGTTGGAGCACTTTGCATTTAGCTCAAGATGCACTTATGCACTCAACGCACCTCTCTGCTGCCAAGTAGTTGAGCTTGGCTTTTATAAAGCAAGGAAAACACTTAGTTTAATAGTTTGTCATTGCAATGTCCTTTGCGTGAATTGTTCTACACGAATCTCAAGTTTATAACAGTAGGTAATTATGAAATTTCGTATTGTTGAAAACAATCTTCAATGAGGGATGATAGTAATTGCGTTAGGAAGTTTCTTCTGAATTTGTGCCTTGTTCTACTTAGATTGGTCTGAAACTGTTTGGTTTCTCGTTGATATTTCAATATTATCAACTTCTCAGTTCTCCAACAGATATTTTCCTCGGTATATCCCAGAATCTGTACTAAATAAAACCCTCCTAGTTCTCTAAAATCCCCCAATTCTTAAACTGATCAACCTTTTTTACTGATCAACGTAAATTCCCTTTTTCTGCACCCCAGTTCCATCCATATTATCTTCACATTCCCCTCTTATTTTCTCTAATCAGCCTGTGCTAATTTTTCAGTTACCCTCTCATCCATTTCCTGCTTTGCATTTGATTATGTTGCAGCCTTTCTCTTCTCTTGTCTCAGTGTTATTTAAAAATATCTTCTAGTGTTTGCCTTCCTGAATTTAAATTTCATAATTGCGTATAGTACAGCCCCTCTCATCTCTAATGATTTCTTCACGAGTATTTGATCATCTTTCAGTCTAATTTTTTTCAGTGCTAGCTCAGCACCTTATAATTTTGCAGCTTCAATTTTATTTAGATCCTCCTGCACACCTGATTTATCTCCCAGTCTTTCATTTTTATAGTTTTCCCAGATCCTACATCACCCCTTGATAATCTTCTTCCTTATCATGTACGTAAACATGATTATCCCCAGTCTTTCTCTTCCCCTTCCTCAGCCTCAGTTGTCTTTTCTTCTTTCTCAATATTTTACTCCCTCTAGCCTCTCTTTTCTTCAATTCGTCCCATTTGTTTATTCTCCAGCCTGTTTATTAATTATTGTCAGCTCCTTTTGTGTTTTTCTTCAAAACTCCCTTTTCTTAAATTCCATGTACGATTCTTCTTAAGTCTGTCTTTCTCCACTTCTATCTTCACCTACTATTCATTCTACTGTTCATCTACTATTCTATCTCCCTCGTATTCCAGGTTCACCCATGGTTCTCCCTCCCCATAACTCATCCTCCTACAGCCTGTCTCTTCCCCTTCTTCACTTTCATCTTCACCCCTGGAACACCTCTCCCCTCGTATTCCAGGTTCACCCATGGTTTTCAAAACCTAGTTTTCTTCAGTTCCCTCTCCATCTTCCACTCTCAATTTTGTCAGTTCCCTTTCCTCGACTCATTCTACTACAGCCGGTCTCTTCACCTTCTTCACTTCTATCCATCTTCCCTCGTATTCCAGGTTCACCCATGGTTCTCAAAATCTAAATCTCTTCAGTTCTTTCTCCATGACTTATTCTCCTACATCCTGTATCTTCCCCTCCTCTACTTTTATCTCCATCTCTCGTTCAATTACTATTCTCCCTTCTCTCTTATTCCATCTTCCCCCTTGATTATCTTCAGCCCCTTCCCCAGCGTTGCACCATTGTCCGCTCTCCTTCACTCTACTCTTAGTTTGGTTTCAGTTCCAGTTGCGAGATGTCCGGGAACATCCGCCATTAGCCCGTTATTATCCAACGTCCAATTAAAGCCGCGAGTTGCTCAACTTTTTGCAGTGAAAACGCGCCAAGTCGGCGGAACCGACGAGTTTCGGAAACGGCAATGTCACGTGACCAGCCGATGACGTCATGGTGGGCGTGGCCTTTAGGTTTCGACTTTAAAAATTGTTTTTTTCCTGTCATTCTATTCGAGAACGGT